TGGGTAGGGAATCAATGAACCTGTGGCTATGTGGCTAGACGGCTCCTCCTCTTTTCAAAGAGGAAAACTTTGATGATCAAAAGACAAGCCCGCCTTGTTTTACCAAAGAAAGATGAGGAGGGCTTTCGGCTCTGTTTTGAGGCGAGACTGGGAATTTTCAGGTGCTCCTGTCCACCAATAGCAACCTCATGGCAAATCAAAGTAGCACAAGTAGTTCAACTGGTTCGAAGTAAGACGGCTTAGAAGGTCAGCAGGCTGGGGAGCTGAGGCAGCTCCCACTGACACATTTGCTGATGCATCTTGCCCATGTGGTGAACCTGGCATGGGGCACCCCTGTCTGACAGGATGAAGTGGATAGTGAGAAGGAACACCCCTGTTCCTGCACAGGATGCTGAGTTGTGTCTGATGCACGCAGGCAAGCAACTAATACCCACACAGCCATGCTTTGTGCCCATGGATTTACATTTGCAACAGTGGTTTCACTGAAAAACTGTGAAGCTCTCCTGCTTCTTGGGAAGGTGCCACATGAGAAAAATAAATAGTAATGTGGTCTAAATACCTTGAAAACGGGTCTTTTCCTTATCTTGATACACTCGGTGAGATCAGAGGTTGCTTGGCAGCCCCTCTGGAGACACAAGGGAGGCTGACAGCCACATATGAAGTGCAGGGTGGCCAGCTGGCCAGGAGCAGCAGGAGCTCTCTGGACAAACTTTTGAGAAATGTTGCCATCAGGCTACAAGGAAATAAAGCTAGTGGGATTATTTGTGTGCTTCTGCACAAATCCTGGGAGTCTAAGGAACCAGCACACTCAGACATAGAACAGTAGGGAGGAAGGGGTTTGGTGGGGCAGTAGTATGGAGGTACAAAGGGCACAGATATAGCAGAAGGACTTGTGCCAGACTGAAGTGGGAGTACATACTAAATCCTGGAGTCAAATCAATTAACCATCTTACAGGAGGCGAACTGGATCCCTAGGGATCAAACTGTTAAAGAAAAGTGTTGGGAGCACCTTCAGGTTCAGAATATGACTGCTTGGCTTCTGCCAAACAAAATAATATAGCAGAGAAGGAGTTGGTAGAGGAGTCAGTGAGTGCAAAACTGGAGCTTCCAAGCACCAGATTCATAGCACATTTAATTATTTGAAATGGGCAGCATGGCAGCAACCTTCATAAAGTCAGACTGGCAGGACAACTGCTGTGTTGGTTCATCTTCCCCAATCTCACCCACACGCTAGAGTCAGTAGGCTGTCTCAAGCACCCCCCAATTTCTGAATATGGCTTGGCCTACAAGTGCTGGAGACAGCTGGCTGGAGCCCTAGTGCAGTGAAGTCGTCATGCACTTTCAGCAGGTAGAGCTTGAAAGAGCTTGGAGCAGCTGGAAAAGCTGTAGGCAGGGAAATAAGGAGCTCCTGAAGGACCTCAACACATGGACAGAGCAGACCACAGTCCCTGCATAGCATCAGCAGGAGCAGAATTCCCTGGGAAGGTGCAATGACCAGGAGTTGGGGATGAGCCATCTCATTTCTGTTGTTTCTCTTGTTAGTTTATATTTTCTCTATTAAAAATGTTAACTTAATTCCAGAATCATGGTGCTGCTGTTCCAAATCTTTATGGAAAAAAAAAAAAAAAAAGGGCTTTTTGGGAAGGTGGTCCCATCTGGACATTGCTTTCTGAGTATCCCTCTGATAGCACAATTGTTTCAGGTCAACAGATCAGGCTGTCAGAAAAGTGCCTTTAACCATAAATGGGTCCCTTAAGCTCTTAGTTGTGTTTTTGAAGATCAATTCCACACAGGACAGTAGGAAGGACAAATTATGGGGGTTATTTTAGGTAAACTGATGTGTTCAGCAGGTACTTGATGTTGCTCTGATTGTAGGGGACATGGCTATCTCATTGAGGCCAAGGCAGGTTTTGTTTGGAGAAACCACCATGGTTGCATCCTTTATGGATCTGAAACAGTAACTGAAGTGGATGGTGGCTCAGGGCATGGTCTGAGCTTGATGGTCTGACAGAGATGCTTTCCATGAGCTGACAGAAATTAATCACCATGTCTAAAATTGAAGGGACTTTTAACAAAAGACTTGTTGCCTGCAGAGAGGTGAAATACTTTTATTCCCCTCAGCTGAGACAGTGTCATTTGTGGTTTGTATGGGACAAATGTCAAGGACACTCAATATCCTGCCCAGGGGGAAAAAAGGCCAGCCAGTTAGTCAGGCCCTGTCTTCTGGCTCTGAATTGCAGAATTCCTTTTTCCCTAGAAACTCTTCAGGACAGTTGCAGTTCACTAGCTAGAGGGATGCTTGGAAAAGAGGATGGCCAAAAAAGTCATCCTGTAAGGATGTCCTTGCTACAGCTGAGCAGAGGCCATGTGCAGCTCTAGCCGGCAGGAGCAGCTCTGGAAGCAGCTGGAAGTGTAGCTCATGAGCTCAAGTCCTGCACCCTGCCTCTTCACACAGTGGTGAGTGGTTTGAATCCATCTCGCCATCACGTCAGCACCCTCCTCATCCCTTGGCTGCACAGGAGGTATTGACACAGCCTAGAGTGGTTTATGTGGCAAACTTTATGTGATAAAATCTGCAACGAGCAAAGCTGCAGTGGTTGTGGTGTTTCTTTCCCCATGTCTCCCCATAATGCCTCTTGGTGCTTTTTCCTTAGCTCAATTAGGCTTCACAGGACATAACATACAAAAAGCCACCACCAGAACTCATGCAGCATGTCCACACGGCTCTGACTTCTCAGGAGTGGGAATGGCTTTGCTATGACATTTGCTTAGGAGGACATGATGAGCTCTGCCACACACATTGGTGACAAACTGGTCCCTTTTCTACCGCTGGGGCCACAGTGTGTCGGTAGGGTGGAAGGGTGCTCAGCAAACAAGTTTCAAGGTATTGATGCAGTTTTGCAGAGCTGCCTCTCCTTGTAACATTGGTTTTAGGAGGAAATGTATACTGCATGTCCCAAAGATACCCTTGAAGGCACCAGGTATTTTAACACAAAGCAATCACGTAAGCATTTTGACAGGTTTGCAGTATTTCTTTTTCAGAAGGCACTTCATTAATGATCTTAGGAGATGGAAGTCCTTGCAGTATCAGTCATATGTTGTTCCCAAATTTGAATGAAAGGCATATTGTCAACACTTGGCCGGAAGTGCTTTTGCCAATGCTCTTCCAGCTGTAAGGAGTAGATTCACAGCTCAAACTTAGGGAAGCCGAGGGCTGCAGTAATGACAGTGGGACCTCTGAGCACATAACTTGTAAGAAAACTCTGGTAGAAGTCTTGTTAAACTTTCTACTGCTTGTATTCTTTTCACAGGTGTGATAGATAGGAGCCAGTTTTGTGGAGGAACAGGAGATGAGGGTAGCCAAAATAGCAAAAATTAAGTAGGGGAAGGTGGGAAGCCAAAATAGGGCTTTTGGGGCTCTACCATTCGTGTATGATAGCTGACTTGAAAGCCATACAGGTAAATGAAATTCAAAGGGTAAATGTCCCTTCAAAAAGCAAGGTCACGCAGCATTTGAATTGCCTGCCAGAGAGCAGCCTCTTCTCTGTGCTCCTGTAAATCATCTACCACTAGCAGAGGAAACATAAGCCCATGAATACACATAGAAGTGCAATCACTTTGAGAAGTGCTGGCATGAGTTTCTGCTCACATGTGCACTGGGCAACACTTCAGCCACCAACCGACTCATAGGACACCCCTATTTGGCACCCTACTCCTGGTCCTCACTAGCGATGCTGCACACATCTCTCCTGTAAAAGTGATGGTAACATTAAACAAAAAATAACCCAAGAACCTGAAAGATTAGAATAGAAAGATTAGAATAAAAGAGAACATGAGAAAAGCTGCTTCAAAGCATAACCTAATGAACTAAGAGCATTTCTATTGTCATGAAGTAGCTTTTCCCATCAAAAGCAGACAATGGTTGTGCAGAAAATGGTGGGACATTTGATTTGAGTTGGAGCTTTTCCTTGGAACTGGTCTTCTGCCTAGCAATAAGTGGCTACAGAAGCACCATTGAGAATTATTTTCCCTGGACAAGAGGATGGGTCATGAGACTGCAACTGAGTTTCCTTTCCCTTGACAAACTGTAACACCAAGGAGGTATTTTCATAGAATCATAGAATCACAGAATGGTTTGTGTTGCAAGGGACCTTAAAGATTATCTAGTTCCAACCCCCTGCCATGGGCAGGGAGACCTCCTACTAGGCCAGGTTGCACAAGGCCCCATCCAACCTGGCCTTGAACACTTCCAGCTCCAGCCACTCCAATGTTATCACCTCCCTGCCAGACTTTAGGAAGTCCTTTCTGATTTTTTTGCTGAAGTTGAAGCAAAGCAGAATTATCAAACCAGTGCGGCCAAAAGTAATTGCTCACCAAACCTTGCTCACAGTGCCCAAGTCTTTGTGAGTTAACTGTCACATATTGTTTAAGAAAATGCACTTTTGTTAGAAAACATTTCAGTTAGTAGCTGCACCGGCAAGGTTACTACCAAAATATCCTTCTGGGATTTGGGTTTTTTACAGTCTTTGTTGGTTGGCAGTTTGTTTTCTTGTTGTTTTTTTAAATCCTCATCCTGTTCTAAAAAGGGAAGTGATTCATTTGTCTTTCTGTTTAATTTTGCTTCAGCTTACCTTTTTCAGACAGAAGGAAAACTCCTGCTTCAGTCATAACAAAAGGAAAATATGAGTGTACAAGATTGGCCCTCAGAAGACAGAACTAGACCTGTTTGTATCCTATTTAGCATCAATAGATAGATTGTATATAAGGCTTGAAAGCACAAAACCAATGAAGTCACCACAACATGAACTATCTTGAAATTACCTATAGGTGAATTGACAAGCCCTATAGGTCCTTGGTTTTGCTGGAGGGGGAAGCAACTATCTTAAAGCAGACACAAGTAGATGGGAAGTGGGTAATGGGTGCAAGATACTCCTGGGGACATCCCAACTGGACACCAGAAAAAAAAAAAAAATCACTATGAGAACAGTCAGATGTTGGAATAATATCCCCTGGGAAGTGCTGGATTCTCCAACACTGGACACTTTTAGGACTTTACAAGGTGCTGGGCCATGTCACCTAAACCATGTTCCTACCTAGAAAAGTTGGACCAGATGATCCTTGAGGTCCCTTCCAATATGGCATTCTGTGATATGTAATGGCAATGGGATTGGTAATAAGGAAAAATCATTTGATACAGCAGCAGTTATTGAATACAATCTGAGACCAGATGGCTCCACTTTGAAGAAAAAGGTTTCTTCCCTGCTGGAGTTAAGGACAAATACTTCTTGATCTATGCACAGTGAGACAAAAATTACTTAGGAAATTAACCAACAAAAAGGTCATTGTAGTGAAAAGAGTGAGGGGTTCTATAGACTAACATACAGGATCAGCTACTCAAACCCAGCCACCAAAAAAAGTATTTCTTTTAACCATGACCGCTAATTCAGTCTGTTTGCAAGTTTTGAACAACTTCTGGCAACAAGCTTTGGATTTTTTTCAAACTGCAATATTTATGTTTGCTAATTGGCCTTGCCAGGAGAAAGACTGTTCTTGCAAGCAGGAGGCTATTATGAGTAGCACTAGGCACACTAAGCTGCCATTTACGTTTTCTGTGAAGTTATTCACCCTTCTAAGCCCACAGTTGTCCTGCACTGATGTAGTTTTGCCACTGGAAGGCAGAGGGCAAATGAGAAGCGTTGAGCCAGGAGCAGCCCTGGGCTGCCAAGTCCTGGTGAAGCCTCAGAGCTGTGCTGGTAGGACCCACTCCTCTGTGTGGACTGCCCTGGGGGGGAGTGTACCATGGTAAGTCTGATCCTGTACCAAATCTCTTTGATTTCCAAGTGATTTGCTGTTAATGCATTGCTTGGGCATTGAGGAAACACAGGATAAAACACAAGTCGTGCGTTGATACAAATTCTGTGAGGAGAAGAAAGGACGTTTAGTTCTTGCCTGTAACTATAAATCACTTTCAACACTCCGTGCAGTTATTAAGTGACATGTGCTACTAAGGGGAAGAAATTACAGGGATGAAGATGAGGCACCCCGAAGGCAGAGATAGGAGTCTGTGTCACTCCCCATGGAATTCTTGGGAGAAAAAACACTGGGAAAGGAAAACGCGGTGCTTGGCAGGTAACGGTGGGGGGGGGCTGTGTCAGATGGCGGGGGTGAGG